GCATTTTAAAGGAAGAGTTGCAAAGAAGCCGAAATAACAGTTCTGGGGCTTATTATTTCCTGCATCTTGGAGAATCCTGCTGCCTTTCCCAGGTATGTATTCCTCAGTGGCCAGTCATCTGTCATCTGTACACACGGGTATTAGAAACCCCATGTTGGCTTTTCCCGTTGAGCAATGTCACTTCCCAGTAGGGGTGTTTTTTTCTGTGTCTATCCTTATTTTAATTATAATTTTTTTTTAAAAAAAAGATGTATTTGTGAGGATCACCCACTATGCTTTACTATCCCTGAAACAATAATAAAATTGACTCCATTAGAAGGCGAGAGCTTTCTCTCCCAGGAAGTCTGCTTCAACTGGAAGTATTCTTTACTGATCCCGCTGTGGTCCGAAGCTTTGACAAAGGACCCGAAGCCAAGGATTTATGGGAGCATTCCGGTCCGCTGGGACAACCATTACTAAAGAAAAAAATGGACTTCAAAGGAATTTGTGAAAGAGAGATTTCAAACCTTCCTTGAAATCTTGCACATAAATGAAATGGACAATATGAAGAGAGCATTTCTTTGGAAAACTTTTCGGCTTCCTTGTGGATCTGTTGGTTCTAATGAATGAATTTGGGGACTGACTGAAATCAGGTTAATATTCATATTGTTTGACTGAGAAAGTACCTAAAGAAAACAGAGTGATTCTGGGATATTTGTATTAAGTTAGACTACAAAGGATTTCCTCTTAGCGCTTGATTACCGGATGGTGTTTCTCTTGTTTGGGGTGGCTCTAGAGGAGGAGGAGATCAAGAGAAAAGCATGCTGCAGAGAGCGGCTTTCACCCTCACCAGAACTAGCGCAGCTTTCCAGTCTTGGAGCATGTTTGCAGTGATGGTGGCCCTCTAAAACTGGAGCGTGGCCCCAGCGGGAGTTCATTCTGCAGCACCACTGCGCTGCCTGATAACGGCAGACGACGCAAGAGCGCACGTGGGCATCGCTGAAACCTTCTGCTCCGATCAAGCATCTCTGACGTCAGTTTCCTTCCTCCCCCGAGAGCATATCTCTGCTCTCCACATGCAGCCTTCTTACCAACTGGCCCTTTCCCCCCCCCCCTGCCTTCATAGCACAAAACTAGAGAGATCCCCTTCACAGATTGCTGCCCTGTCATGGCGAAGGGGCTTGAGTTATTAAGAGAAGCGATGGGCTATGCCATGCAGGGACACCCAGGATGGACAGGTTGTAGTGGAGAGTTCAGACTAAATGCGATCCACCTGGAGCAGGAACTGGCAAGCCACTCCAGTATCTTTGCCAAGAAAACCCCATGGACAGAAACAAAAGGCTAAAAGATATGACGCTGGAAGATGGGCCCCTCAGGTCAGAACACGTCCAACATGCTACTGAGGAAGAGCAGAGGACAAGTACAAGTAGCTCCAGAGCTAATGAAGTGGTTGGGCCAAAGCCGAAAGGACATTCAGCTGTGGACGCGCCTGGAAGTGAAAGGAAAGTCCGATGCTGCAAAGAAAAATACTGCATAGGAACCTGGAATGTAAGATCTATGAACCTTGGGAAGCTGGATGTGGTCAAACAGGAGATGGCAAGAATCAACATTGACATCCTGGGCGTCAGTGAACTAAAATGGACAGGAATGGGCGAATTCAATTCAGGCAATTATCATATCTACTCTTGTGGGCAAGAATCCCGTAGAAGAAGTGGCTATCCAACGAGGCCTTACAAATAGCAGAGAAGGGAAACAAAATGCAAGGGAGATAGGGAAAGTTACAGAAAATTGAATGCAGACTTCCAAAGGATAGCAAGGAGAGACAAGAGGGCCTTCTTAAATGAGCAGTGCAAAAAAAAAAAAAATAGAGGAAAAGAATAGAAAGGGAAAAACCAGAGATCTGTTCAAGAAAATCAGAGATATTAAAGGAACATTTTGTGCAAAGATGGACATGATAAATGACAAAAATGGGAGAGACCTCACAGAAGCAGAAGACATCAAGAAAAACTGGCAAAATATACAGATGAATTATACCAGAAAGATTTGGATGCCCCCGACAATCCAAATAATGTGGATGCTGACCTAGAGCCAGACATCTGGGAGAGTTAAGTCAAGTGGGCCTTAGAAAGCATGGCTAACAACAAGGCCAGTGGAGATGATGGCATTCTAGTGGAACTATTTAAAATCTTAAAAGATTATGCTGTTCTACATTCAATATGCCAGCAAGTTTGGAAAACTCAGCAGTCACCAGAGGATTGGAAATGATCAGTCTACATCCCAATCCCAAAGAAGGGCAGTGCCAAAGAATGCTCCACACACTAGCAAGGTTATGCTCAAAATCCTCCAAGGTAGGCTTCAGCAGTATGTGGACCAAGAACTCCCAGAAGTACAAGCTGGATTTCGAAGGGACAGAGGAACTAGAAACCAAATTGCTAACATGTGCTGGATTATGGAGAAATTGACTACGCAAAAGCCTTTGACTGTGTGGACCACAGCAA